CACACACACACACACACACACACACACACACACACACACACACACACTTCTTCCAACATTGCTCTCCATTATCAATAAGACAAGGGGGTCCGTCATGTCAGGGATATTCAGCGTACGATATACAGAGTTTGATCAGATCGGTGCTGAACTGAAATGTTTAACAGTTGATTAAGCCTTTTACAGTCTGACAAAAAGACACAGAAGGTGTACACCACCGTGTGTGTGCGTGTGTTTGTGTGTGCGTGCATTGCATAAGGCACAAGTCAGTAGCGAGGGGCCTCTCGATGGGATCAGCAGACGGTTTGGGATTTATTAATTACCCCATGACAGCATGTGGTGTGAAGTAAACATTGCCAGTGGGACATTGGTCAAGAGAGGTGTGATGGTCAAATGACATCAGTGGGGATTCTGGGAAATTGTGTTTAGTAACTGACTGCTATAAGAGCAATCTGCTCTGTAACACATAATGACACACCAACATCTGCCTTAAAAGCCTAATCGTGATTCATAGGTTCAACTGTATGAAGCAATAAACAATAAGACAAAAAGACAAGAGAACGTCACAAGAAAATTGGGATTTAGATGTTATGACACGGCACATTTGTAATATCAGCTCAAGTGTGCAAATGTGAAGGCTTTTTTTTCTGGATTCACAGTCTGTAACACAGTCTTTGCACAAACACACACACTTGCGTCCATGTGTACAAACAAACAGATTTATGTCATCCAATGTAGCCCATCACATGATAAGTGAGAACGGGACAGGCTGCAGGGACTGCTTCCAGGAAGCAGTGGTTATCTCAGTGACGATCACATGAGGACAGGTCCTGCTGCTGCTGCAGCACACATAAAGAATATAAGATCAATCTGATCTCTAAAACGTGTCACTTTTAGAATAAATTAGCTACTTTTATCAGCAAAAAATACATATAGAGGAGAGGTTTCTTTAAAACAAGCAGAGAAATGTGTCAAATAAATCTACAATCTATAATATCAACACAGTGACCATTCAGCCAGTGTGATGAACCAGAAATTAAACACGGCTTGTTGCCATGTGAGTGGATACAGCCACTGAGAGGCTCCAGAGTGTCCGCTAACAGAGGTGGACTTGTGGAGTAATATTATCGATGTGATGTTAAGATCAACCAAGAGAAACACGTGCAACATAACGAGAGAGCTGTCAGGCTGATTGCTGATGTTTTCACTCCGAGTCTGGCCGCTTCTCGTACGGCTCAAGAGCCCAACTGCACGGAGCTCGTGGCTAAATATCGTCACTGCATTTTGTTACGTAATCTAACAACTTGGTTAAGACCAACTCAGCAGCCCCTCAACACCTCACGGATACAAACATTGTTTACTCCACCAATTTAGCATGGCACTCCTTTAACATTGTCGGACTCACAATGGACAGTTGTTCCGAAAAGATAACGTAAAAATCAAGGAAAGCGTGACATTAATTCTGCACACTGTTAACTGTGACTTTATTCAAGCGAGTTCCAAGTCCCAGTAAGCTGATTTTCCTGCCACACTGAAACGCTAAAACATGCTTTGAATAAAAGGCAGCTGTCATTTTAAGTATATGTAATTTATAGCAAACAAAACGGTTCATATGGTTCTTTAAATTGTTGATTTAAGGGCAATTAAGAGCTGAACTTGACATTTGCATTGAGGGAATTTTAGTTTTCTGACTCATATCATAACTGAAAACGGCTGAAAAACACAGCGACATAAGCCAAAAGTATTTTGCATGTCTGCGCTGCGGTGAGGTTTTGTGAATCTGCGTTTTGCTTTGCATGAGCTGCACCTGCTCTGACCTGATCTACAAGAGTGAAATGAGTTCCTAGTTGGCGCCGGCAAGAATGATTAACATGACGGCCTCCAACCTGTCAACCTACACACACACACGCGCACACACACACGCGCACACACACACTGTATACAGGAAAACTGTTTCAAATGCAAGCTCAGCCTTGAGAAATCAACGTCTCTGCATGGCAGCAATGAACGCAACCGTCTGTAGACATCATGTGTAAAAAAAAAAAAAAAACAGCTTCAAAATGAAACAAATCCGTCCTCCGCCAGTTTCCCGCTCCACTTCAACACATCCACACCCTGAGCCAGCGCAACCTCCCCCCGCCCCGCCCCCACCACCACTACCATCATCATCATCATCCCTACCCCTCCCCTGGGCCCCCTTCAGCCGGCTGCATGTCTCTGGAGGTCGCCTCTGACGTCAGCAGCTCGACTGGGCAGAGTGCCAGCCCTGTGGGCCCTTGATGGATGCGGACGGTCTGAGAAACAGTCCACTGTGCGCGTGGAGCGCACGGAACAGACTTAACTCGGCCCGCTCAAACACATCTAATGACCCGTAAACACCCGACAGGCCCGTTCCCTCTGCCTTTCTTCTATCACACACACTGATGATTGAAGGAGACAAATGTGAAGGTGAGTGATTTGTACTGCAAATGGCCGGGATAATAAATACAACCCGCAGAGGCACACTCTGGTTACTCTGGGTCTTTAAGAAAAAAGGTTTTAGCTTTTCAGCGCAATAAAAGTAAACGCCTGACGTGGCTGCAGCCTGTATTTGTGGTTGACTAGTCGGGAACTCATGTGAGATTATGTAGCTAAAAAGTATAAACATTTAACCGAAGCAAAATATCGCAGAAATTACAACTCTGCGTCAATATCCTGGAATTCGCTGATCCAATTATTATGTCACAGTGATCCAGAGAGCTGCAGCGTGTGTGTGTTTCCATGTTTGTCCCTGCTGCGTGTGTGTGTGTGGGAGTGGGTATACCTGCAGGCCTGCTGCTGGTCTTCCTCTTCAGCCATCTGTCCAACGTCTCTGCGCTCACACTCTCCAACACAAAGTCATCCAGCATCTGCGGGTGAAGCGAGAGGTAGGCCTTCACTTTCTCATCTGTCAAGCCTGAAAAGCACAAGAAATTAAAACATATTTTAGCTCAGGGACAACACAGCTTTATTTATGACTAAGCAAAGCATAAAAAATACAAAAATAGAAGAGTGTGGAGGAGAGAAACATGAGATATAAGAGCGTGGAAACGTCATATGCCAAAGGCCCACAGTGTTCCAGACATTCCCCCAAACAAAGGCACAGACTAGAAACAGCCGAAGGTCATCTCTTTCTCTTTACTGTGAGGTGAGAGCGGCAGCACAGCGCCTATGTTCCAGCTAAAGCCGTCAGATAGCCGGGCTGGCTCGCTTATGTTTACTGTAAAGCTGTGTCTCCAGAGATAGGAGCCCCCAACAGAGGCAGCAGGATAAAGGAGGACTCGAATGTGCTTAATAGGCAATTAGGTCCTCGAAAGCTCGCTAAGTGCTGCTGTTTACTGTCTTTGTTGTCAAAAAAGCCATTTGCCAGACCATCGTTGAGGGAAAGTTGTTTTTAATACACCCGCTGGCGTCTGAGAGGCCGTTGTGATGCACTAGGAAGCCATCATGTTGAGGTCACTCGAGCAAATGCAGTGTGCTTCTAAAACAAAGACTTCTGTTTAAATTCAGCCGTGAGACGTCACCACGTCATGAGACCGTGAACTCGATGCTGACATGAAATGCAACCGAATATAATAATTCCTGGTACAGAAAAACAAAATCCTACGACCAGGCTATATTTCCATTTTATGGTATGGCACACAGTAGTTATATCTGTTAGCAGATAAGGGTAGAAAGCAGGCCATTGTATTCAGACAGCACAGATCGTTTTTTGTTTCGTTTTCTCACAGAATATCTGGTTATCAGCCGTCAGACACACAAACACACATACACACAGCATGTAAATATTACTAAGTGGTGTGTGTTTGTCTAAAATCCTGTATGACATCAGGGTAATTAATGGCTGCAGACTGTGTGGCACAGACCTGACTGTTGTGCCAGATGACAAAAATGAAACCAGATGCAGGAGTCAGAAGCATCCACTTCAGCTGCAGGTAACTCTTATGTGTGTCTTTACAAAGTGTTTGAAATTGCACTTGAGGAATAGCAATTATTTGAATAGAATTTCTGAATCAAAGTGCTCCTGACTCTGGTAAACAGTCTTAGCGGCCACCTACGACCTTTGATCTGTTCGCCCAGAACAAATAATTTGATCTTCGGCTACGATTGATCACCTGCTCAGTGTGTGAGTGTGTGTGTGTGTGTAGGTCGAGCAGGCTTGTGGTTGCAGGCAAATAAGGCAAACAGAGGTGGGGGTAAGTTTGAGGGGTGGAGGACGCTGCAGTCTGACGCTGTCCAGACACGAGACACAGATCTTCAGGAACGGAACGCCTCACGAGACTCCTGGCCAGCTCTGACGCACAGAATATGGCTTAATAAATCAGAGAGAGTTAAGGGGGGGTGGGTGGAGCTGCAAGGGACAGAAAGACACAGAAAGGAGTAAAATGGAAGCGCTGCAAAATACCCTCACAACTTTGTCCTATTTGAAACAAAGACGGCACTGTGATTAGTGACACTACCAAAAATAAAACACAAGGAGGCTGTATCTTTATGAATACAGGTTTTGTGTGGAAAGTGATTTAGCTATCATATGTGTGCACATGAACAGAAATAGTCAAATGTCCTATTTCCATGGGGCAAAAACAAACGGCAGTGCTTAGAATTCTACAGTGGGCTTATAAATGGAGTTCTGGGTACATCCCTGTGCTTACAATGACCAGCCTGCACCAAAGAAAGAACACACCATGGCCCTCGAGAACAGACACTATTTATTTCTGACCCCTAACTCAACCCTTGAACGTTTGAAAAGTACAAGAATGTGGATTGAAAGTGCAACCAAATTTTTGTTTTTACTAATATCAGGAGTAGGTAAAAAAATAATCACAACAAGGCTCATTATTGCGTAAAGGTTAAGGTTGGCCATATTTATTATTTTTGTTATCGTCAACATTCTGTAAAATGACCAAAACCAACAACGTGTTAGTTCACTTCCCAGTACTTTCCGACTTCCACCACACGTCTGTGGCCGTCACCTCCAAGCCCATTGGTCCCTACTGAAGACATAAATCTAAAGATTCATTAAAACAGGTGGGCACTGTAGTATTAATCAAACATTATTCAAACAGGAGTAAATAGTGTTGCTGACTATTTTCAGCAACGGATTAATACATTATTGGTGCTCCTATGATTATTTCAGAAGGCAAAACCATTGGTTGGTTTTGCTCTTTTCACTGTACTTGACATTAAGAAAAATATTATAGACCATCACCAGACATATCCTATTAAACTATGTTACGATGATTCAATGTAATACCAGGAAAATGTAAGAGCACTGACGAGATGATGACGTTTTTTTTCCTGAACATTCTTGATGCTTTCTGTCGACCTGACGGACTTTCCTTCTGATTCCTTCCTAAGCCTCTCGAGCCACAGCTCAACCTAATGTGACCGCAGTGACACTCAGAGCTGTGGGATATGCGTCAGTGTCCTGGGCCTCTGACTACAACTAAGCAAAGGTGCAGCCAGATCTGTCCCACATGCTGTGGTCCACAATGGTTAACCCCACTGGGACCCACATGTGCTCTCTCAATCAGGAGGGAGAGACTGCTGCGGTAGAAGCAAACGCTTGGTGACTGGTTTGGCCAGAGTTCTTCTTTTTCTTTTACCTCAGGGGAAATTTCCTTCCCACTGGCACCAACGCTGCTGAAGACAATGGTGCCATCAAGAAAGAATAACACAATGTATGACACGGCAAACATTAACAAATCAAAATTGAACAAACTAAATATGTCCAAATCCTCATCATCCCAAGCCTTCCCATGATTTCAACATATAGATGTCTGTAGGATGTGCAGGCCTCCTCCAATGGTCACAAGATAAATCTCTGTGGTTGCAAGATTATTGATAGGAACAAAGTTTTGCCACAACATAATTTGGACTTTTCTTAAATCATTTTTTTGTGAAATATTGGGCCTGTTATGTAAATGAAACCATCCTTCATAAGCCAAAAGGAATGGGAACCACTGGTTTAGTCTTTCACAAAGTGTTGTATTTTAAACATTTATCATGTTTTTGTTTTTTTATATACAGTCTTTATTTGCTGTCAGATACATGTAGTATGTAATATTTCCCTCTAAAATGTAGTGGAGTAGAAGTATAGCATAAAATAGAAATATTTATGCAAAGTAGAAGTTTTTTTAAATTGTACTTAAATGCAGCGCTTAAGTATACTTCCCACCTCGGTGCTTAAATGAGTTTGAGTCTAAATGAAGGCGCTGGGAAGCTGCTTGTTCTGCAGCATGCTTGTGAGCAGCTGAAGCCCAGTTAGCAGAGATTTTGGTGCCTGACTCAGACTTGGACTTCCTGTACAAAAAGTGAAGCCCGAGTTCATGTTCAGTGATGTATTGTTGCATAACACTTATCTTGACTGAAGCACACCACACCACACCACACCCTGGGACTGGGAAGAGAAGGCCAAACCAGTCTGGGTCTCTGCGCCCTCGCATCCAAGTTTCAGTATGAACACGCTCCTGTTTGACGGGGAATGCGTTTACAAGACAGCTTGGACTGGGCACCTTCATTGTGTTGCGGCACCAGGTTGTGGTATTAATATGGAATGTCAGGCATCGAGCATGGTCTGAAATGTGCTTTCAATAAATATTCTTTCATGCATTATTAGTATACGTAGCAACTTTAAAGTATTGAGATGAACATCAGCTTTTGAAACCTGATACTGAGTCAGTTATGGTGAGATTTCATATGAGTCACAAAAAGTCATAATAAAAACGGAAAGTCCCCGAGTATTCCGGACGCTTCGTTTCTATCTCTTTATAGGAAGCTCCTGAAAGAAAAGAAACCCCAGTGAAGCGAGGCCTCGTTGCTCTCTCTGTATCCACAAGTCTGTCCTTATTCTACAATTTACATCATGTTTGATTTAAGCCTCCACAACACTTCAGTCTTCATCTGAGAGCTGACGAACAGAGATGAGGGGTTTGCACTGGACGCCTTCAGCTGCTGATCAACTACCTCGTTCTCTCTTTCTTTGTTTCTACTTTAAAATCTGAATTTCTGAATACAAGAGTCTGTGATGAGAGAAAACTCATCCACATATCACAAGGTATGCTTTGTAAATCCCATCAGGATTGCACTGTAATTTAGGTTCATCACTTCACGAGTTTGTCTTTGAAGTTATGATGATGGATGATCAAACATTTTTTAGAGTGCAGATCGCCGCCAGGTGTGTCTGCAACGACCATTGCTGTATTGCGTGATTGAATGAATACAACCCACAATTGGCTCACTGCAGGTCTAGACACCAATAAGCTGTAAGGCCCAAGTCATAAAACACACTTCATTCAAACTCAAAATGTATGCAGGCAATCGCCTCAAAGTCTTTATATGAGACACGTCATACGGTCTTGCCAAAAACAAAATTAAACTAACCAACCTGTCTGCCCGCTTATCAGCGGCCGAGTTGCAGCGAGGTACAGCAGTGAATGGTACTGGTAGTTCTGTTAGCTGTTAGCCAAACGCACTGTACAAAACAATAAAAGTGAACCAGAGAGCAGCAGCTGATACTTCTGCAGCAGTGTGTCTACTGGCAGTTTTGTTGGCTGTTAGCCAAACGCACTGCAAACTGTGAAGGTTGTTGCGTGCAATATGCACGTTGGGGGAAAGGGCTGTTTCACAACAAGGCTTCTCAGCTGACAGAAAATTGATATGGCAGTTGAAAGGAAAGTGGTTACTGTAGTTGTGAGTGAGGTGGAACTTAATTTGACCTGAGTTATTTGGGTTACCAGTATTTTATGTAGAAAACGGACATAAATGGATTTATTTATTTTTTTTGCTGAAATATTGCAAGATTTAGAGAAACGTGCAATGTAAAAGTAGCAAATTCCTGGAGGTACTGCTTGTTTCATTTAAACAATAAACTCACATATGCAGATAAAGGAACATTTTAAGAGCGCCTAAAGACAACGGCCAGCTCCACCCGATCGCCATCGCTCATCTCTATTTCCCATGAAGCAGTTGGCCATCTGTGTGACAGTGCCTGAATAGAAGGGAACGTGTCTTCAGCGCTCCTGTCAAACGATGTCGGGCGGCAATGTCAACAGCGGAGGCCGACCCCGGCGGTGCTCCTGTTTAGCGAGCAAGATGTAACTCCTCTGCTGCAACACATACAGTAGATGAAAAAGGCACATGAGAGAAAAAGGGAAAAGACCACTTCTCTCGAAGCGCACTCCTCCTGGCAGAGAGTCACGGGCAAGCTGCCAAGGTACTACTTTTCACTTTCCTGACATGAGGCTGAGGCAGGAAAGGGGAGGGAGGGGAGGGGGAGTGCGTGCGTCAGCAGGTCCGCCTGGGACTCCCTTGCCAGGAGGTGGGAAGAGCATGTGGTTCTTATCTTATCTCTGGGAGGGCTGGAGCACAGCGTCCAACACGCACATTCAGTCAGCGGCAAAGAGGACAAAAAGACTGAAGATGAAAACGCTTTGACTCCTCTCCCACCGCTCAACTAATTTATTCATTGAGCCTGTGCCGGTGAACCTGGGTATGTGTGTGTGCAAATGCAGGTGAACACACACACACACACCACATTCCACGGCAGCCAAGGGTGAGGCGACTGGTGCGGCTCAATCAATAGTCAGCCACTGAACAGGTGTCAAATTAAGAAAACGTTGTTTCCCCCTGGACTTTTAACTGCAGTCCAATCACTTCCAGAAACACGCCCCCGCATGGTGAAAACAAACACCGCTGCACAAACATGCACACCTAACACTCAAGACAGACAGAGAGGTGGACATTTCCATGGAAATGTAATTTGCATTATTTCCACTTCCATGGTCCAGGTCATTAGATGTAAAGGGTAAGGGCTATAAATGGCAAGCTAAGATATAGATAAGGCATGTCCCATGATCCACAGCCTAATAGTGTGGTCACAGGCAAGCAGCAACACTCCAGCTGCAGTTATAGACACATAGCAGGTCAACCTTCACCTTCAACTTACGTTATTAACTCAAACGTTTCGTGTGCATTCCCTGAAAGACAGCCAGAGGCGGTAGATCACACAGCCTACGACAGCGAGCCTTCAAACTAAAGCTGCGGTTGCTGCCTCGGAGGTCACATCTCACCCAAACTGGTGGTTTGATGTAGCGCTGCCTCTGTGCCCCCCCCCCCCCCTACCCCCCCACCCAGAGCCACATCAGTGACAAGGGGTCATGTTCCCCGCTGAACATCTGGACTGATGCTGAACTCTGCAGCCGCTCTGCAGAAGGGGCCAATGGGGACCCGGTAATGAGAACCACAGATCTGTGCGTCTTCTCCAGCGCCCTGTTCTTTTATGAGCCTTGACACGAGGACAAGTTGTAAAGAAATCTACACGCATGTGGCCTTTTCCCGTCCCCTCAGATACCAAACCACGGCAAGCTGACGAGGGGTCAACGGACGCCTTGAGGAGAATGTCACCCGTCTCACCGCTCAGATCGTGCACTGTGCCCTGGCACTGATCCGGTCCTGCATGGATCTTGAGATGAAAAAAAAAAAAGGGTTCAAACTGCAGAACAAGCTAATTTTCTTTGGCTTGAACTTCCTGACAGCTAAACACTGAAGACAAATCACAAAGAGACTATTTGGCATGTGTTCAGCCTGGTCTGGAGTTGTTTAGCCATTCAAATTTCAATGGTGCATTCATTTTCATATTTAATCATATCAATCACTATTTATATATTCTATGCTGAGAGGAGTCCTCACTGTGAGAGAAGGCACGCGGTGAGGCAGGAAATGTCCAGCGTGAGCATTTCCTGTCTGACAATACAGCCTTCTTCACGGAGTTAAGCAATTCGTCGACAACCAATTGGGTTTGAAAATGCCTGAGAGATTATATTAGGGCTGACCCAGACTGACCTCCGAATCTGACTACACAACTATCCACAAACAATGCACAAAAACATGCACACCCTTGTATATTTTCCCGCAATGTGAGGCTACAAACAGCTATTTATAATACCCCAGGACTAACCCGCTGCTTAGAATCACATGAGCATTCAGAAAGTGAATGAGCCAACACGTCATCTTTAACCAGTCCCATTTCAGAAAGGACAAACAACGATGGATAAACATGACAGCAGTAAAATAAAACACAAAAAGCCTTTGTAAACAGTGCTATAAAAACACACATATGTGTTCTGTGACAGTGAAAAGGCCTTGGATAAGTTACAATCAAATTATTCCCCGATCCTAAACCAATCACAGGGAAACGTGCAATGAGAAGGCAAACAGTGTGTCAAATCCTACATTTAATCTAGATTAATTGACAGCTGTACGATATAACATTACAGCATAAATGTGAGCTATGACAATTACAACAAAAGTGGAAGCTGGCAGTCAATGATTAACTTTTACTCTGGTCAATGTGTGAACGACTTCTTTATAGTGTTAGAAAATAGTACGAGACAGTTGAGCACAAGATATAATAATCCTTTTTTAGTCCCACGGAAACACACATTTGCAATTTGAATATTTAGTCAGCTGCAGCTACAGTTGTTTAGTTAATTCAAAAAAGTGTGGAAGCATTGTGTAATCTCAAATTCTTGTCCTTTTTTGGTCAGTATGAAGGCGGGATACCTACGAACCGTACCTCAATAATACATTCCATGACTGCAGTTTACTGCTATGTGTGTATTTTGGCATCACTCAGTATCCCAGGACCCAAACTGCTAACTGGTTATTACAGCGTTGCCACTAAAGGTCACTCGAGGTGCCACTTATACAAATGGAACCACGGACAGTGTTATTCATGTGGCACACAGACAGTGTAATTTACAATCACAGAAATAAATTAAAATAACTCCCAAAGTACAAGTTCCCACAGCAATATTACAAAGATATAAAACCAGAGAAAATTGCAAAAATATGCAACAAGGCCTGTAAATTCACCACTGAGTGGGAAAGCACATTATAAGTGAATATTTACTGTAAATTACAAATACATTCACTAAACTTTTTGCGTATTATTTCTTATTATGGCACCAATTTCTCAATATATTCTACTATTTTATAATTAAAACAATGCTAAATTGCGGAGTGTAGCAGCCTCTGACAATAAGAAAAAAGCTTTAAAAAAAGAAAAGCAATTAAGCAAAACAGCTGACGTAAAAGCCAAACTGAGTTTTATTAGGACACATTTATCCCAGCTATGGAACGAGAAACCTATATATCTAATGGTGTATACATATACAACTCGTAGTATTGCAATAAATAATACAAACATGTGTTAATATAGTTGTTATAACAAAGTAATGTCTGTAAGAATATGAATGCGGAACCATTGCCTTCAACTCTTATTTCTACAGGAATATTTTTAAATGTAATTCTCGTTAGGGAGTGGGCTGAACAGCATTTACACAGCCTATCCTCACTCCGGCGCGAGCTGAAGACTTCTTGATGCCATGTCTTATTGCAGCACCGCTGACTGTCCCCTCCTTGGTAGACCGGACCAGCTCATATTCGAGATGGGATTCATAAACCCGATCTTTATTTTTATCAGAAAGGACTGAAGAGACACACGCTACATTTTCCGTATTGCAGTCCTGTCTGGTCCCCCTCGAATGAAGTCCCCACCCATCTAAATCAGCTCTCAAGCTGTCATTCATAAAGTTGGGTAGACGCATGGGCAAATAACGAACGCCTGCACGACCAAAATGTTTTGGCACGGTTACCGACAAGCAAAGCTTTTTGTATTTCGCGTAAATTTCAGTTTGTTTTTTGTTTCACTCTTTTACAGTGTTTGTAAAAAAAGAAGACCTACTTGCACCCGGGAAACAGTCCGTTAACCTTCTGAAACAGCTTGTTGAAGACGGACCATCTTCCATGTCGGATTGTGAGCGCAGGAGGAGAGAGGAGCCACGGAGGAAAGTGCGCCTCTGCAGCTGCAACTTGGCGCGTCTCAGCAAAAACCAAAACTATTCCAGTACGCGTTAGTCTGATGGTGTCCTCAATGCTTCAGGCTGTGCACGATTTTTGGAAGGGCAAGAAGAGCAGTGTGCTGCCCCCCCTCCACCAGCGCTATGACCCAGCACCGCTGGCCGAGGTGTAGCTACAGTCGGCCCGCCTCCTCGGCGTGGTGGCTCCGCTGTGGATGTGCAGCAGCAGACTGGGGGAGCGGAGACGACGACGCATAGACACAGAGGGACGGGAGTAAAAAAGACACGCACGCACGCGCACACACACACGCACTCACACACACACACACACACACACACGCACACACACACACACACACGCACGCACGCACGCACAGAGAGGGAAAGACGGGTGCGCGCCAGTGTCAAGTCAGCTACAAATATCTAGCACAACTTCCGCTTTAGTTTTCAAAGTAAAAGCCAAAGCACTGCATGATGATTGTGTGTAGGGTGTCCTGTCAGGAATACTGCAATGAACGTAATGACATTTTGTCAAGAATTTAAGTAGGTCAGACAATCATTTTCAGGAATTCCTTTTAAACGTGCAGTTGTAATGCTTATGGCTAAATTAGCCTTTAAAATACATTGATTTAAGATATTTGGCTTCCTGGAAACATTCACAAATGCCATGACAGAGCGCTTAAAAATGTGAGTCATTGCCTAAAAAACACCGATGTTCAAAGATTCATTCATTAAGCTTTTTTTTCCTACACATCTAGCGGTTATTTTGAAGGGTGAGTCGTCGTCGTTTCCGGTGTTTTAGCATATTTGACGCGTCTGAGAAGGGCACAATTGACGCTGCTTAACTGCTGTTCCCGTTTTCTGAATGTGGCTGCGTAAAGGGGCCGAGCCATATAACCCCAGTGCTCTCCAGAGACACGCTGCTGTTTCCTGATCCACAGCTCAGTGGTCAAGGAGGAGACGCCAAGCTCCACATTTACAGCATGGCAGGACACATTTAATGGAGCGTCAACTTTTGCATACGAGGATTGAAAAAGGTCCAGCCCAGTGTTTAAGCATTTTGCTGTCGCTATTTACCAAGGCACTGAATTCCTTCCAGGTGCCGACCCTGACCCCTGACCTCCTCCGCAGATAGAGAGACTTAAAAACAGGGATCAATCTCTAGAGTTATATTATTGGGTACTTCCAAGCCAAATTTTATGAATGGCTTGTGTTCAATGAGCATTCAGAACAGTCCCTCTTATACAGCAGTCAAAAAGTAATTTTTCTGGGAAAAATATATATTAGTACATTTAATAAACGTTTGAAAACACTTTCACTATGGTACACTATGGTGCAGCATAAGGAAAGCATGTACAAACAATGTGTGTGAGAGTGAGCGATCAAGCAGGGGCAGTCTAAGTTTAGACTCCTAAACACTGATCACACCAGGTCTAATTTGTGTATCTATCCATTTCAGATTTCCCATAATGTTCTTTTGTCTCAAGATTTGTCTTTCTGCCTTTTTCTGGGTCACTGTTGATATTTTAGTTCCTGACTTGAAGTTTCTGCAGAGACTTACATTTACCAAAGGAATGCATTCAATTGATTTATTTCACTAGGCGTACATTTACATAAATTACAATTGTAAATATTGCCTTGAATTTGCACAATGAAATAAATCAATGTAGTCCATTCCTTTAGCAAAAGCAGTGCAGAAAGCTTGAATGTAAAAACGTCACATCTGCAGTGCAACTAAATATTTGGACCACAGTTATATTCCTATCTAATAATATCCAATCCCATAATAAAGATAATGATAAAAGAAAAACCTAATTAACCTCAAATTGAGGTCAAGTAGATGATCTGCACTGACTGAAGACAATCTGGAGAAAAAAAACAATAGAAGCTATATACACAGATAAATAAGAATGCTGAACAATGGTTTGGATTATACGAAGTTAGGATTAGAAAATGGCAAGACTGTGATAGAATTACCCCAATGCAAGTTTTCTTTTTGTTATTGTCAGATTCAAGTCTGAGTCAGAGGATTTCCTGTACCACTTTAGCTGTCTCTGACGTCTTTAAGGCCACACTTAGTTCCTGTTAACTGTACAGTTATTGCCTTGAAGCTAACCAAGCAATGCATCACCACCGATCTTTATATTTCCGCTATTAATATCCATGTAGAAAAGAGAAACATAATTCATTTACAGGACATTGGCAGAGCAGAACAATCCTGCTGCGGAACTAATTTTGTGCCGTGAACAGCAAAACTACACATCATTTACAGCATACATGAAGATCTTAGATCAATACATCACTTCACATCAACACGGGGTATGATCTGTAACAAAATATAAAATCTGTATAGTTGACGTGAGGATACCACATCAAGCTCCTAATGAAATGAGCTCCCTATCCCTGCAACCTTTGTAGATGTGTGCTCGTGTTATCAGTGCTCACACTGCACATCAACAGCTCTGAGTCGGCAACATGATACAGCATACAGCGTGCCAGACTCCCTCACGGCCGCAGCATATACTGATCATATCGGGAGAGGGATGGGAGGGGGGAGAGAGAGAGAGAGAGAGAGAGAGAGCTGTGGCAGGTTGCGTCAGCATGCGTGCTATCAATCACTGGCATTCCTACGCTTTCAAGCAGCTGGTCCATTCAGAGGTATAACATAATGGATTCTCTCCAATTTCAGCCTGATGAGAAAAGCTCTTAAAATGAGGGATGCATCTTACGGTGACACATCAGTTTATTTCACCAGTACGATGCTGCCCTTTGATTATTTGTAGTGTAATAGTAATGCAATAAAGCATGCATCTGTTCGTTTGAAATACTAATCTAATAACATTTTCTAATGCCCAGGAATTCGGGAGGTTGAGCTAAAGGGAAAGCCAAATAAATTCAGCCATTCAGGTGAAATAGAACCATTAACATGCAGCATATTGTCCGCCTTTTATTTGAGGATAGATACTTTAGATTTTGATCTGAAAATTCATACATATTCATGACTTTTATTCTATTAACATTAATAGTATTTTTCTCTGGATTATGAAACTAATGACAATAAATAAAGGAGATTGTTAGATTGTTACAAATGTCAAATGTAACACACACACAAAAAGAGAAGCTCAGAGAGCTCTGTTAGCTCCCTCGGGGCTCACCTCAGTGCGTCCTCCCTGCACTTCAAGTATCTTATGCACGGGAATTTAGATCTAAGAAAATTGCTTCAAAACATTCCCAGCACTGGAAGTTTATGAGCTTATGTGGGACAGTTATGACTGAAGAACTTATAGGGAAATGCGGTAGATCACAAGGGATGCCACAACTCTGTTTTTGACCCACCAGTGAACACTTCGTGGAGCTGTGGATGTTGATCCACGGCTCCACGAAGAGGCAGAGCAACCGCTGTAAGTTTGAAAGATTGTTACATAACAGGAAGTGAACTGACCAGCGTGACCTGTCAAACCAAAATTACAATTTAGCCCAATTGGCATGAAATATAAATTGCACTAAAGTAATGGTTTTATCTACACAGACAGCTGTATTTTTGCCCTTGCAAATAGTGGCATAAAATGGTATATTCTGTTTTAAGACACATAAGTCTCATGTTGGAAAATGATACAGATGCAACAGAATGACCCCAGCAAAGTTTGAGCGGTCATTTGTTTCCTGTACTATTTTAAGTACAAGTACAAAGCAAACAGCATTTTGTTAGGGACACATTGTTGGTTGCTAGGGAGCTGCCTGGCATCTCTGGCGGGGAAGTGAAACTGACATTTTAAGATTTTGATTCATATACTGTATATCCAATTACTGTTCATTTTAAAAATTTTAAAATTGTGGTAATAATGCAGTCACAGTAGCACATTCAGTTGTATAGTCTCTCCATTGACAGTAACACAATTTAGTATGTTACTCCTGCATTAACAGTTAAAAGTCCTGCATTGTTACCCAAGTAAAAGTTTGTGTTATTATCCAAAAGTATGTAAAATATCAAAAGCTTTATTATTATTCATGCATTAAAGTAACTATTTACTGTTTTAGTTGCTCAAAGTTGAGCTAATTTTTGAGATTTATAAAAGGGCTCAGTGCTGCTTTCTGTCAACGGACAAACATATCAGCACTCTGCACACAGCAGAGGGGAGAACACATGCACATACAAACACACAGGATGGAACAATACGACCTTGACATGATATATTGTTGTGGTTTTTTAGAAAGTTCCTGCATATTATACCTAGATCATTTTCTTCCTCATTCTCTCGATGAGAGCACATTGTTTTCTCCAACTAACAGTCCAATCGCCAAAACTATTCAGTTTTATACGAGGAAAAGCAGTGTAATCCTCAAATTTGAGAAGCTGGAACCATTTCAGGTCTAATTTACTGTTGGGTAATTTCATATATACCAGTCATCACATTTTATAAGCTCATCACAAAGTTATACAATATTTCCCTCTGACATGTACTTGAGCAGAAGTAGATTAACATACATTTGTATTTATGCATTGTACTTGATTAAATGTACTTTGTAACAGTCCACTAATGGTCCTTGTTGGATGTGCTTCATTAAGGATAATGTAAAAATTCATGTATTTACAGAAGAGCATCAATCATAGGCAGACATATGGATTTTGCGGCTAAACTAAGCAACCACAGACCCAAGAAAACCTCAAAATGCCAGGGCTCTCTCCGGGTTGATCTATATCAATTTGGAAAGGCAGTGCGCACTCTTATCTCCGACAACATTATCCTGCCATCAAATCCCATATTTTTCTGTGAATCATACGAGTTAAAGTGAAATTTATGGAAATAAAAAAGGCGACAATGAAAGAAGGTGAAATGTCATGTGTCTTAATGTGTGTGTCACGTGCAGAAGGTTCCTATAGCTGTTGGTGAAAACGCAGCTTTACTTTCGTCCGCTGGGGGATCAACAGCTGACTGAAGAGAGAAGTGGTCGGCAGCCGTGCTTAAACTGTTCCCCCCTCTCGGCTGTTTTTAGCAAACATCCTCCTGATGACTATACGGCCTCAGTCTCCCTACATAAGAGCTGCACATCTTCAGACGTGTGTGTGCTTGTTCACACACAGCCTTACCCCCCTACCCCCACATTACAGACCTCATCCACTGAAGCGCATTTCTGATTCAAAGCACTGTACACGCTTTTTGCACTCTGCGCACGCACACACACACACACACACACACACACACACACACACACACACACAC